TGTTGAACAACGTACATGCTTAGATATCGATTGAGTAAGTATGATAGTACTCTTCGTTATAAAACGTAGTCTTCATAGAGTGAATATGTTAATGTTTTAAGATGTTAATCCTCATTTGCATGTATATTAATTGTACATTTTCACCTACGTGTGTACCACCCAAATGTAATGTGTTACAATTCAAACAACTATGCATTCACGTGTATATCTGTTATAATGAGTAATACGTGCATGGCATCATGTATAAGAGGACATGTAAAGGAAAGAGTGTCATGAAAATATGTTTGTAATGGAACTCAGTAGAAGGCAGATTTAATGACTCGGTCCAGACATATTTTTGTAGTTGACCCAGCATAGATAAATACTACTGAGCGTGTGATGAATGCTAACAATGCGACGGATTTGGCATATATTTCATCTTAATTTGCCTACAGTGAACCTTTTCATGGAAACATACCTTTAACGCATCAGTGACAAAAGAGTTCCGATGCAATTTCCTATTTTAACTTGTACCATATGTTCCTGTGTTTTCTCAGGTTAACAACTGACTTACCTTTGCATGTGTTTGTGACGGGTGCCAACGGTGGGGCAGGATACGCTCACCTTTTTGCGAACACCTGGTATCTTCACTACTTCATAGTGATTCATAAACACATGCTCATAATATAGTCAGAATTGTACAGTCGACTCTGTTTTGGGCTGAGGTTTCCTATGAATATGGAAAGGGTTTTGTCGCTTTTTTTTATTTACATTTTTTTTATTTAATGGCAGACCACGTACAAGAGAGGGTAGTTCTAATAATTGTTACGTTGAAAGCTTAATATACTTCAGGACATGTGGCAGTTCGTTTTGAATAAACTTTTATTTTATATTCTATCCTGATCGCAGTTGCCAGAATATAGGAAATATTTTCTCGTTGAACAAAACAACATTCTAGTTACAATGACATTTACACGTGAAGCTGGTTTCGATTAAAATGTGTACACCATTTTACGGAGAACGAACAAATAGATTAACTTTATGTGCCTAGAATGCCTTACACAAAGTCAAAATATAATCAAATTTCTGAACAAATAACATAAGCTAGAATTCGCTCACTCTTATAGTCTTCCAACTTATAAAGGATAAACATAAAAAATAAAATGTATATTATTTTGATATTTGAAGTGAAGTTCATAAATATCTTAATTTTATTTAAGACTACGTATCACTATTTGCACGTATTTGAATTGAATGTTTCAGCAATATGAGATGACAGGGCAAGGTATTTCATAGTGATGTTCTGGCCTTCATTTCAGTATTATCATCTTCATGCGCGGGTGAATGGGAATTTGATATTAGTTATTGTACTCATATTTCTAAACCTTCAAACCAATGTCATTATTTACTTTACAAACAATACACAAATACACTATCTGTAGTAGATGAAACAAAATCAGACAAATTTCTCTTGACATGCTTCTCCATTCAGCCAATCGAGTATTCAGTTTGTACCGATAACAACCACCCGTTAAATTGCCCATCGACCTAATCATATAGCAAATTACCGCAAAGTAGTGTCTTTTATTGTAAAGAAATCAGTAGGAAAGGACAGGGCATCACTTTCCCTACACAAAATACAAACACCGAGAGACAGCAGAGATTTGAACTCTTTTTGCTTATCCGCAGGTATCTTGTTTGAAGTGGTCATTTTCTTGTTGAACGGTCATTTTCTGACCAGTGGGCGGTCTCCATTATCAGGCCAATCTGATCACCCCAGGCGTCTTTGTGTACATGTTTACTTTACAAGTGATGGGGTTGATAAATGTATCCTTTGGGTATGTACAAGTTAACATTGTGGAACTTTGTCAGTATGAGCGCGTCTTTCAGACAGTAAGGTCATCTGATATCGGAGGTCTTGGATATATAAGAACGACTTTATCTTTGGATATGGCACCTGTCTTATTTGGGCCAGTACTGTATGGAAATGTAAGTACAATATCAAAACGTGAACCACTTAGCACTGGTTGGGACATTGTGTAATTTACATAGAATGCTGCGTGTAGTTTGTATTTATCGTTTTAGCACTATCTTCAAAATTAACGTCATCCAATTTTGGATTTCCAAATGTCTTATTTGAGTTGTTTTTTGTAAATGAGACATTTCACTTTGATTACTGACGTGTTATTCTGGTCTGTGTATAAACGCATTGATTTATTGCTTTTTAAAGACCTTCACTACCCAAGACACGACAAGAATTTCATAATATACAACATTACTTCCAAATAGGAATCTCTTATTTCACCTTCCCAGTAATTTCGTTTTCCGCCTGTACAGAAACCTTTAAAGTGTTTAAATAAATCACCAGGCCCACCTATGTGATAGCCCTGTAAGGTCTCTGTCAGGGGGGTTCTGTTTCAAGGCTGGGGTAGTCTACCTTACACTAACCCATGGGAGACGATAAGGGTAATATATGCCCCCTAAGATTTTGATTCTTGGGTTAATGCCAGTAATACAGACCCCCTTAGATTGAAGATACCCTGCGTAATACGGTAATGTATATGGTGGTTGGTAGGTGATCCGCCTGCTAATTCGAGTTGGATTTCAACTTGCGAAGCTGGGCCCAGGTTTGGGGACTAGTACTCAAAGATGGCAGTTGGTCTTACCGTTTCATCTTGAACCTAAATGATGGTCAAAGGTCAGCGTATTCTGCCTAAATGTTTTCTATCTATGTCTTATGTTACAATTGGAACTGTAAATCAGTGGAGTGTTGTTAAAATCAGTGCTTTATGTTTATTGTAAACAAACATATGTTCTAAATACTATTGGGTATTTGAGTGTATACTTCGTGTTCAGTTGACACATTTACTTATCTAAGAAAATAAATAAATATGATTATTAAACATATGCTTTTGTTAAAACCGGAATCATACATTGAACTCTGGCTTTAGCAGAGAATTCTTATGTCTATGCAATGGTTTAATACCTTTTCAATTCTTTTGGTAACTTACTCTTTTAAGCAAATGACACAAACGATGTGTGTTTTCAGAGAAAGCAATGTGTATTGCCAATGTGATGACTTATATGCAGTTGATGGAGCAGTTGGTTCTTGAAAATATTATTAATATCAAGTATGTGATCAGGTGTTTGACGATGACCAAGTGTTACCTATAAGAATGCACATTCATCGTGTCAAACGTGTTTTAATGTTATCCAACCAAGACAACAAACTGAACAGATTTGAAACTATTCCTTGGAAACTATTATCTAGTTAGGACATATCTCCTCCACACTACGGGGCAAATAGTGTCGACCTTTCTCAGGTGTTGGATTTTACAGGTGGATAATAGCAGTTTCGGGTGGCGGATCTGGATATTTATGTCTCTCTTTGATCGTTTAACAGTCACAAGGGGGTGGAGAACTGGTTAGACAGAAATTACGGGTAGTTTTTATAACCATGTCGGGGGTCGCAGGATGTAACCTGATTCGGCAGATTCCGTAGGATTTCTCGAGTATTTTAAGTAGAAATGTGCAAAGTAGACATATAATCTAAGCTTGATAATCACTCGGGAAGGACTGACATTTATTCACAACAAATACCATGGATCAGATTTTATTACGCTATTATGAAGTGACGTATTTGTTCATCAACTGGAGATGTAGCTGTTAAGTTTGGCTGAGCGTTTAGTAAGTGGTGACTACATACCACTGTCCGTAGACGATATGAATCGGGGAATCTCGGTTCGTAAATTCAATTTATGATTCGTAAATTAACTTAATGTAGTTTCATGTCAGACATCAACCTGTTCATCACATCTATTTGGTTCGTTAAAGAACATGTTCTTGTGCTCTACATGTACGAAGTTAATTCCTTAATACAATAACATGTTTATTTAGGTAAAGCCACTGTCGTCGACATTTGCGGAGTGTTTGCAATGATTACGGAAAATATAGGGAACCGAACAGTACGTACCCACGGAGATCCGCACCTTGTATATATTTGCGGACTCGTACACAAATGTTGGATAACCAGGCAGCACCCATCCCGGCCTACTGAACTGGATGACTCCAAACCCCAAAAGCATATTCGTACACAATGAAAATTTCTATGATTGAAAACATTATTCGCTTCTATTGTTTTCTGTAACAATGGCCCGTGGATGATATATGACACTGTTAATACTGGGTGTTATTACCCAACAAAAGCTCAAATGCCTAATGCTTAAATCCATATATTACTTCCAATCGCAAGACAGCCACTGGAAGAGGGCGAAGATCACTGATTGTGCAGGACACTAAATGTGTTAATTGGTGCTTAGTAGGGATAATTACCAACTATAAACATGAGCGAAATATGAATTAAATATTTGAAATGTATAATATATTATTTAATGAAATAGATACTCATAATGTTTGAATGTGTGAAAATATTTTTTTATGCTTTAATTGATAATGACTAGCATAAAAGTGTCTATGAAAGTGTATTAAATTAAATGTGCCCAAAATGTATGTTAGAATATGTGAGTTTAGTGCTGTGAATATATGATTATAGATATATCCACGGTCTATGCTAGTTAACGCAAACCAGTTTCAGACATCTTTAATACCGACGTGTTACAGATAGGAAAATAAATGGGTACGGGTTCTCTAAATGTATGCACGAGTCAGCCAAATGAAGTGCGAATGCTCCGAATCAGTTACAGATCGGACGGGAATTTTAGGTACGGATCAGCCATTTTCGGTCGGTACGTCTCTACGTGGGTACTGATAATCTATTATCCAAACTATATTTCCAGTACACATACAGGTGTGATCTGCTTCTTACGAGGTGACATTTCAAAATACTTTGAAACAATATAATAACAGAAATATACCAATGTCAACACAAATCGTCCACCTGATCGTACTGACACTAAATTCCCATTCCTCTGTTGCAATCATGGGGTTATTTGTAGATTATTGTTGATTGGTATTGCAAATTTAAAATGACACTCTCTGAACACTTGCTTCTTTTGTTCCAGGAATCACATCCACTCGGCGGTACGCCTCTCGCCATGTTAGCTGCACAGTGTAATAAAATCAACAACAAAAGTCCACCACCCTTCGCAGACAACCCTCTTGCTAAAGGATTTCATCCCTGGCGGAAGACGGAGGCAGGGGGCGCAACTTCGGGAGCAATAGCCCTGGCGTCTCAGAAAGGCGCTGTCCTGCCAAGTGGCGCGGCAGTATCAACCAACTATCTCAACTACAGCCGTGCGCCATCAACCAACTGTTCCAGTGCTTACACAGACAGTCTTTTCAGCTCTACTAATTCATCCCCGGCGTATGCGCAGTCTGATTCTGCGCATAAGGTGGCACCAGAAACAGCCTTGAGCAGTGTATATTCCAGAATGCACTCATTAGCTGGACATCCATACGACTCTTGGCCATTTAATGTAACAGGGGCACATCCGGCCACGGCGCACACTCTGAAAGCAGCAGAGGTGACCGGAAGTGTCGGTGGCACGTCTGCGTGGTGGGATGTGCACTCAAACGCTGGAAACTGGCTCCAGGATGTATCGGGAACTGCTGGCGCGGCGTTGAGGACCCAACTGGCTTCTAACTACCCCACAGCGGATTATGGACTCACCCATGCCTTGGGTTCGGGAACCAATTCCCTCCTCTCCCCGAGCCAACAAATCCTCCAAGATACGTACACCTACAAATCCATGCTGTCCAGCCAGACCGAGTTGGGTGCAACAAGTGTAACACCATTCTACAGCCGTTCCTCACTCCCAAATCTCTCAAACTCACGTTCCCAACGACGCTATACCGGACGTTCTAACTGCGACTGTCCTAACTGCCAGGAAGCCGACCGGCTTGGACCTGCAGGGGAACATATCCGGAAGCGAAACCTTCACAATTGCCATATTCCAGGATGTGGTAAAATCTACAACAAGTCGTCCCACCTCAAGGCCCACCTTCGCTGGCACACTGGGGAACGACCGTTCGTGTGTAACTGGTTATTCTGTGGCAAACGTTTCACCCGATCTGATGAACTGCAGCGTCACTTGCGCACGCACACTGGCGAGAAAAGGTTCGCGTGCCCAGTGTGCAATAAGAGATTCATGCGCAGTGATCACTTAGCAAAGCACGTTAAAACGCACAGCGAAATGGATGAGGATGGAATGAAGGAATGCAGTGATTCAGAGCTGCAGGACCAGGGTGAGGAGAATACGCCATCCGTCACGTGTTCTATGACGTCACCAGCGGCATTGTCTATAACGAACGATGACACCGACAAGAGACTTCGCTGATGTCATGTGACTTTGTGGATATGCACTCTTTCATTTTTTTCTGTTTTCATGTGATGTTATAACTGCATTGTGTTTGGAGTCCGTCTGCAATATTGTTTAATATGTTTTATTCCTTGATATAAATAGTCAATCTGATGAGTGTTTCTTTTTAATCTTGGAATCTGTCGAATGGATCGATTAAGGAATATCCATTTTGACCAGATGTATATTTAATGGTCGTGGTCACTATGTGTACGTAAGTACATCAGATCTACACATCGTAGCTACGTATCTGCGTATCGATACTTCGGTTCTTTCATTCAAGAACTGATTTAATGGATTGACACATTTGGTCTAGATTTTTCACAGACCATTAAAGGCGGATGTGATTTATGATCTGGTGCCAATGTTCGGGCTAGGTCTAGACGTTGGGTTTGGTGACTTGTGCACAACCAAGATTATTTGTAAACGGCAGGGAACAAACAAACAAAGTGGGTTTTCAAGGACAAGTTGTTGGGACGGCCAGTTGACCAGAGCCGAGTCTCCCTTTAAGTCTCCCTTAAGTCTCCCTTTAAGGGTTTGCGGGACACGGGACACACGGACTCCTAAGCTTAATGTGGTCAATGAATTTACATTGAATACAATACCGACCTGAAGGGATATTCGTACTCTTACCTTCGTTACAAGCTAAATGTGGGCGACAAAACCATAGTGACATACTACCACGAATCATTGTTTATTTCTCACGAATCATTGTTTATTTACCACGAGTCATTGTTTCCTAAGAAAGATGACACAGGTATTCTTCGAGACAGATAAACATGTCTAGATGCAGACAAAGCATATCCTTGATTTCCATTGTTAATATTTTTAATACTCCCAGAAAGATTGACATATCATAGTTTGGTTTTATACTTCAGACCCATTTGGTAAGTGATCCATGCGGACGCATTGCCCTTTTCCAGGTAATACATCCGAATATAAACAATGGGACATAATTAATATCCAATGGCAATTCCTTCGTGCTTTCGGTAAGCTGGACTATTTAACTGGCAACGGTAGTGAGACTGAACGCACATACACTGTTCTATCGAATGAGAGACGTTCTTTTTGTCATTTATGTGTCAGTTCCTTTACGTCTTCGACGCTCAGTCACAATCATGCAGTTAAATATTTAGGCATTATTTCGGTAATGAGTACAGCTCAAATTGTTTATAAAATCGTTACAACAATGTAAATACAAATTAAAACAATTTGCACAATGGTGTTATTTTGTTCCTAGCCCTTTTTTAAAAGATCAACAATACAGCATACCTATGTTTCGGGTTGACACAAGTTTTCAAAAAATTATCAGGAAATTCAGAATTAGTTGCATGTTTGTTAATTCTTTGTCTTCTATATTAAATAAGGCAGCCCTTTTTTAAAAGACATAACATTACATAATTAGTTTGTATCTGCTCTTTTTTAATTTTTTTCAAGCAGTTAACAGTACTCGCATTTAGGGAATTGAAACATTAACTGAAGAGACTTTAGGCTCCATCATCATTTAAATTTAAAATAAACTGGTGGCTGCAGCTGTGATTGTACTGTTGTAGTTGTTCTCTCTCTCTGTGTATATATATATATATATATATATATATATATATATATATATATATATATAAGGTAACATTTATACATATTACATACTGTCTTATTAATATGATATGACACAGAATACATAATTTATCAGAAGCATTAATGTAAACTTGTGGCCCACCTGTTTCTATTTGATGTCCACGCGGGATGACCAAACAAGAAGCTTTACAGTCCGACAAATGGTCGTTAATCTGAAGCAGCTTGCAACCAAAAATGTGTTTCAATAACAATCCCGAGTCATACATATATCACTACATGGATGCATTCTTAGATACTGATAACATGTCTAGTGTCACACCTAGCGTCCAATCATATTTCATGATTAAACTTCGTCAGAACAGGTTTAGTATGTCTGGCATTTTCAGCAGCAAAGCCTATCGCTACGCGATAAGAAAGCATTACCAGATCGAAAATGTACAGACATATTTGTGTAGAAATTCTTTTCATTCTTGACAGGTAACCCACAACGCATTGATTATTTTTTTGTAAGATTAATTGGTCCTAAATGACCACTGTAAAGATGAGTAGACGAATCGTGTGATACATTTATTTATATCTCGGCAATAAGTTATCAGTATGAACAACAACCTATGCTATCGGAGTACAATGGGAAATAGTCAGTTAATACATTATTACCCCCGGTGCTAATTTTAGTTGGCTTTTCCACCAATCAAATTTCACTTTGTTTAGGAATACATCTGTTGAGTTTTTTTCTTTCAATTCATCAGCAGAAAGAAGGAACTTTTATTCAAAGGAGAAAGATTAATATTAAATGATTTCGAGAATCTGAGTGATGGAAAATGTAAAAAGAATCCTGACGAAAATCGTTAATTCTAAGCTAAAACGTTTTTGGGTGTCGAAATGGTTATTGCTATGAGTGAGTGAGTAATGCATATGAATCTTTATGCATATGAATAGGAATTTATGCTTGGATATACTTCAGGTATATCGATTATCTAATATCGTTCAATAATGGCCAAAATGCCAATTCCCTTCCACTGATATACCAACATCAGCTAAAAATAAAGGATATCAGTGAAACCACCTGTTGTGTTTTATCATATTTCTATCGATGCAAAAAGATTCATACTCTCCACAAGACAAGAGGAGGACTTTCCCTTTATTTCGAGCAATATTCCAGCAGTTCCAGCCTTTGGTGTCTACGTTTACAGCTTTTGAGGTTCAATTGACCATGCTCTTATTACGAAGAATTCACAGAGCGTCATACGACTCTTGCCTAAAATTTGATTGATCATGCTTACAGAATTCAAGGTCTTAGGAAAGCGTTCGAACAGTTTTAAGGTACACATGTGAAGAACATTTCCAATTCGTGGCATCAAAATGATGGACAATGCAATTCCCTATTTTAACTTGTACCCTATGTCCCCGGGTTGTTTTAGGTGAACAATTGCACGTGTTTGTGGGGCAGAATACGCTCAACTTTTTAAGAACACCTTGTCTTATCACTATTTGACAGTGTTTCATAAACACATTTTTATGATATCATCGAAATCGTACAATGGTCTCTGCTTTTAGTAGAAATGTCTTATGATTATTGAAAGGGTTTTGTCTCTCTTATATTCAACGTGCGCTGGTCCTGCTTAGAATCCGTGTTTGAATTCCCACACAACTGTGGCGCACATAGCTGCACTGCTAATTGCGGCGTAAAACCTTCTTGTCTCAAACCCCAAAGAATTATGCAAACCTTTTATGCGTATACAAACGTATGACAAACATAAATATTCTTACAGCAAAAGTGATTTGACGTGAACACCACCATAGAACCTTCCTCGCGCAAATCACAATTTATTTTGCAATCACTATTTTGTTATATATGTATAAATATAGAAAAATATAGATTTCTTAAGAAATGCCACTTGAATTCGAAACCACCCTCATAAAAACATATTCACTCAATTGAGGTATGATTTAGTTATATGACCCGGCCTGTAAGTATTCGATTCTGGACCAGACAATCAAGTGATTGATATAATGATCAACGATCCACACCGTCTTAGGACGATGACACGTAATCAACAAACACGTCACCAAGCCTGAACAGTACGGGTTGCTAGGCACTAGTTCTAACCCGGAATTTCATCCTGCAACGAAAGATGTTTTGTTTGTTTGTTTGTTGTTTAACACCTCATTCAGCAATATTCCAGCTATATGACGGCGGCCTGTAAATAATCGAGTTTGGACCAGATTATCCAGTGATTTACTTCACGACCATCGAGCCACGCAATTGGGATCGATGACATGCATCAACCAAGTCAGCGAGCCTGACCACCCGATCCCGTTAGTCGCCTTTCACATGGGTTGCTTAAGACCTGTACTACCCCGGATCTTCATGGGTCCATAGTCCAGTGCATATGATAATGATTTGATATCGTTCAATATTAATCAAATAGCCAATTCCCTTCCACTGATTTACCCACCTGAACTACAGGATACAGGAGACCATGACGAACGCCTCATCTGTTTCATATTTAGATTCAGAGTGACAAAACACTCTCCACAAGACTGCACGATAAGAGGGATAACTTCAACTTTCAAATAGTCAACTTTTCCTTCATGTCGAGTAATATTCCAGCAGCTCCAGCCTTTGGTGTTTACATTTCGCAACTTTTGAGATACAATCGAGCATAATCTACCAAGAATTTCGAGCATGCTCTACCAAGATTTTCAAAGAGCTCACAAGTTGTTTCATCAAGGTTACGTCATTCAAGGCCTCAGTAAAAAAAAGGTTTTTATGGTAAACATGTGGAAGACATTTCCAAATTTGACGCATCAGTAACAAAAAATATGTCCGATGCAATTCCCTGTTTTGTCTTGTACCATATGTTCCCATATTTTGTCAATTCCACTGCATCAGCAACCCTGCAGAGTCCTTCGCTTGGATGAGGTCGGCTGGCCTGAAAAGTGAAACAGAAGGCTTTCTGTTTGCTGCGCAGGACCAGTCACTTCCCACTCGAAACCGTCAATGTGTGATTTTGCATCAAAATGTAGAGATCATGTTATGAATTTAATGAGACTGTCCAACACATTGTCAGTGGATGCCCAGCTTTGGCACAAACACAGTATCTTAAGCGACATGATGGAGTGGCTCGATCATTATTTTAACATCTTCGCCAATGCTTGTGGTTTTGACGCAGAGGTTCTGACAATCTGGGTAATGCAGAAGGCTGCAGTGTTGGGGAGTCTTCACATTCTCAGAAAAGTTCTGGGTGGGTTTGACTAGGCAGCGCTTCCTGGGAGAAGTCCCATTCGCTGTCTGGGCTGCGCGTAGAGGGGGCAAGGGCCCTGAGCTGATGATGAGCCTAACCAGCCTGACTGTGCCAGGATCACCCAAACCCTCCTTGCTGCATTTTTTAAATTTTAATCTGTAAATAATAATAATAATAATAATAATAATAACTGATCGACCTTCTATCTGCATGGATGTGCACTAATGAAAATATCAGCTCGTGTTTTATTTGGTCAAGCATTATCTTATTTTGTTACAACATGTAGAAACAGGCTTAGATTTAAAACATTTTCTCTATTTGAGGGCCAATGATTACGGAAACATTGGGTACAAGTTTATTATAACTGTACGAACAAATCTACGTGATATTTCTTAATAACTGTCAAATGTGAATGATTCATGGATTTTATCCACAAACAAATTGTAAAGTGTTACTTTTACACACTGCACGCATGTATATTACGTTGGGTGGTTGGTGTGTTGTTCAACGCCACACTCAGCAATATTTCAGCTATATGACGGCGGTCTGTAAATAATCGAGTCTGGTCCAGACACTCCAGTGATTGATATCAGGAGCATCGAGCCACGCAATTGGGAAACAATGGCATGCATCAACCAAGTCAGCGAGTCTGACCACCCGATCCCGTTTGTCGCCTCTCTCGACAAGCAGTCTCCTTTTACAGCAAGCATTGGTTGCAGAAAAAAACTACTGACCCCGGATCGTCACGGGTCTGTATATTACGACATCTACCAGCGTCAACACTCAACCCCAAGTTGCTACATCTGGATTTAGAAGAGATTTAAATTATTCATAATAAATTTAGAGATGAAAGGTGCATACTAGCATGTATTACTAATAGTAGTAGTAGTACCTTGAAGTCTCTTTTTGGTACTATTAGATGCATACCATGACTATTATAGATTACCTGACAGTTGTCATAATTGTGATAAAAAAGACAATGATCATGTTTACTTTGTAAAATAGGTAATATCACGGAGGTCCATCCATGGTACGACTCATGGAAAATGATCTGTGATATTGCTGAAATTTTGCTAAAAGCGGCGTAAAACCATACTCACTCACTCACTTCTGGTTTTACGATATTTGGTTTATGTGAGGCACCAATAAGTTCACTGACTTACCTATTTCACAAAGTAAACATGATCATTGTCTTTTTTATCACAATTAATAATATGACAATTGTCAGATAATCTACAACAGTCACGGTAAAAAAATGCAACAAAAAGGGTTTGGGTGATCCTGGCACAGTCAGGCTGGTTAGGCTCATCATCAGCTCAGGGCCCTTGCCCCCTCTACACGCAGCCCAGGCAGCGAATGGGACTTCTCCAAGGAAGCGCTGCCTAGTCAAACCCACCCAGAATTTTTTCTGAGAATGTGAAGACTCCCTAAACTGCAGCCTTCTGCATTACCCAGATAGTCAGAAGTGCTGCGCATTCCTGCTAGCAAACCCGGGTACTCTCCCGATGTCCGTCAACAGATTGGGAGGTACCAACCCTAAGGCACCGAGAACATCGAGGACAACTTGGTACTTGGGATGCAAGCGTGACATTTTGAAAGCGAGGTCCGCATATTTGCCATGTATTTCCTCAATCTTGTCAATCAGATTAGTGTCAAAGGGGACAGAACATTCAATGATATAAATGATTTCATTGGATTTATCAAAACG